CTCACCTCACCTCACCTCACTTCCCGGCCCGGCCCCGCTTTCACTTTCGTTTCTGCCGGGGCAGCTTCACCACACGCCCCGCCCCGGGAGGGAGGAGAGGGCCGGCCCCGCCTGCTGCGGACGGGACGGCTCTGAGCCCCGTGAGCCCGGCCCCCTTCCCGCGGCAGGAACAAGTCCCGGCGCCCGCGGCTGCCTGTACACACGGGCTTCACCCTGAGACAGCAGACACAAGGCTGCCGGTAGCTCCACAGCCCCTGCCCCCTCCCTCAGGGGCAAGCGGTCTGGAGCGCTACACGGGCCGCTCAGCTTTAGGCCCGCCCCCCTCAACGAGGGTCTCTTGAAGACAGCAGCTTTTAAGGCATCCTTGCCTTCCCCAGAAGGGCCCTCTCTCGAGTGCATTGTTCTGTGGTGGCAGAACAAGGGGCTCAAGTTGCAGCAATGGGAAGTTTAGGTTGGATGGTAGGAAGAATTTTCTCACTAGGAGGGCAGCCAAACACTGGAGCAGGTTACCCAGAGAGGTGGCAGAAGCTCCACCCTTGGGAGGTCTGGCTAGAGAGCTTTGGGTGGGATGATCTAATTGGGGCAAGTCCTGCTTGGAGCAGGGGGTTGGACTAGATGACCTCCTGAGGTCCCTTCCAACACTTACTTTCTATGACTCTATGATCCATTTACTTGGTTCAGTTGCACCATAGGTGAGTGGTGCCTCCTGAGACTGTGAAGCAGTTTGTGGGTGGCAGAAGTGGCAGCATGCAGCAACTACCTGCAGAAGCCAGTGCTGTCGTTACTTTCTCCCTGACCTTTAAGCAATGCCCTTAAGATTCTAATTTATCTTCTGCTCCCCAGAGAACCATCAGCAGTACGTAGGTAGAGACTATTTAGATAGGACAAGGTTGCCTCCCCCACAAAAGGAACAAATGTATAAAAGTGACAAAGAACATTTACAGTGACACCCACACTTGCTTTGAGCAAGTTACCCAATTTTTCAGAAAACCAAAGCCAGCAAAAAGCAGCATTGAGACTTTGTTCCTTTTCTTCTTTTTGCCCATGTAAAACACCTTTGCTTGCTGGAACCACCTTTCCATTTTTCACCTTACTTTCTCAGAATCTCCCTCAAGTGACCCTGCCTTTGGAAAGTAAAGCCACTTCCTTTTTCCATCAACACTGGATGGGAAGAGTAGGGAGTACTCTGAAGTGTCCTGGGGTAGTATTTGGTTCCATTTAATAGCCAATAAACCCTCCCCGCTGGAGGGCTAATTACTCTCTCAGCTTTTGGTTTGAAGCACAAAGCAAGGGACGTTTCCATACAGTAAAGTGCTCAGTAGAGTGAAGACATCTTACAAGGCAACAAAATGGTTTTTAATAAACATTTATTGATGCAGCCATTCAAAATTTAGAATCGTAGCTTCTGGAAAAACCACTTATTCTTGCCTGTCTTGTATCTGAAAGAGAGAAGCAATCCACACATCAGGTAACATTCTACTCCAACAAACTGTCATGAGCAAGCCATACCCCATCCCTCTGCTTTGGGAGGTGGCTCAAATGGGTGCCTTTACCCTTTGCCTGCTGCAGTTGCACCCTCATGACAGCCTGTCCTTATATGCAACGCACCAGGAGCTCACAGCAGAGCTCCTAGTAGTCCCACACTCCTGACTTCACAACATAGTCCTCGTGGGCAGTTCCTCAAGCAACATGAAAATGCCACACCCCACAGATACTATCTTAATCAAATGGGGGAGTAGTTCTGTTAAAGAACAATATTCAAGATTTGTCTCCTAAAGTTAATAAGAAAGTTGCAGGCTTGAGTTAGCTTGTTGTCAACGAGATGTTCCCAACTAGAAAACCACCACAGGAGGTACCCAGAGCTAGAAGCACCATGGCTGAGAGCACCAACCCTCAGCAGTTTCTGGATTGTTTCTTTTTCTGACTTTGAGCTCAAATATAGGTCACTCAGAAGAATAACAAACCATGGAGTGCCAACTGCTGCCAGCACAGCCTGGGCACCCTAAATTTACATATACAAAAGGAAAATCCAGCCAAATGGAACAGAGTGTAATGACCCAGTTGTCAGCAAAATAAAGCAACAGCCCCTTTGCGATTCCACTTACTACTCGCCCTATGCTGGGTCCAGGTCACCCATATGATCACAGGTTCTTCCAAAAGTGCAGTATTCAAATCCTATCAACACAGTACTTTCCATCATAGAGCACTGTGCAGTCCTCAGGGATCCCCAAGCCCACTGTGAGAGTTCAGCTCCCATGGGGGTGGGGAATGGGAATGACACTGGACACTAGGATTGAAGTGAAACATTACAATGACCCAACTGAAGATGGGGATAATTTAGGTGAGGAATGGAAGGGTACAAGTAGGATTTGGGGTGCAGCCACCATACTGGCATTATACCACCCCCATTAAACTGTACTAAACTCTACATGCTCTTTGTGTCTTCCAGCCAATACTTATCAAGCCTAACATTTCATCTGAAAATAAGCAAAAAGCCCTGGCTGCAGGCTTATGTTTGCCTGAATCACTCGACAATGTCAATAGAATGACAATTCTACATTAAAGTTAGCTGGGGGCAAAGAAAGGAGCTTCCAACTCACCTTTCCTCAAATTTCACCTTGGCTTCACGTCGTGCTTTGCGTTTCAGTGCAGGGTCCCGGAACACATCCTTATTGACAACAGTTTTGTCCAGAGGAATATCAACAGAATACCTGAATAAGACAAGAGTAGAATGAAACATCCAGGACACGCTGATGCCCACACACCAGGCAGAGAAGCAGTGGGCAAATAACTAAACCAAAAGCTAGATAACAGTGGCAATTAAAGTAAATCCAAGGACTTGGGGTGGTGTCATGCCACTCCAGAGATCCTGAAGCCATAGGCCCCAACATGCATCTCCGAGTACACCGAATATTTCTGTTCTGCCTAATGCTCCACATTTAGCAGGAAACAGCAACAGAGAAGGGAGGGAATACAACAGCATTATGTAGTTCTGCTCCAATCCATGAATTTCCCTCCAACAGGAATTATTTCAAATCCCCTTTGCAGCTCATAGAAGGGAAGCTGTCTCCCTTTCAGCCAAAGAAGCTCAAATATAAACCACTACCAGAAGAGTTGCAATAATAGCTCAGCCACTGTGCTCATGCTCAAGAGACTTGTCTAAATCCCAATAAGAAAGAAATTGGGAGATCGTTAGCATTTCACTGCAGCTTTGGAATCCCAGATACTATTCACAGCTGGCTACAAGTCATTTTCCAGCACCAAGTTATTTTCTAGCACCAAACATTCAGCCACACTGACACACAACTCAGAAAGAAGCCCAGGTTTCTGGGTTTTACCAACAAGAAAAATAGCTTTTGCTATGATGAAGTAAGCCAATGTACTGGTTCTATCAGGAACAGTCCAGTAAGCTCTCTCTGCCCACTCACCTGGTGGGCATGAGGTGGTTGTAGTTGTACACCTTCACAAAAGATTTGATCTTGGATCTCTTTGCTATCTTTTTCTTGCCCATTGCAGTGGTTACCTTCCGTGGATACCGATCAATACCAGCCACAAGGGCATGGCTGTAGGGTCGGTCTGAGGTGCCATCATCAATATTCTGAATGAAGCAGATGCATAAACAAGAGTTCAGGATTCTAGGAGTTCAGCAGTCAAATACTAAAGCAGACAATGCAACAGAAAATGTATTATACAAACAGGTAAGAGTGCGAGCAAAGGAGGTCACACTATTCCAGAAACATTCACGTCTCTTCTGCAAGCAAGCAACCCCCATTAAATCCTTTACTATCAATTAACAGCATAAGGCCCTGCCTAAGAACATTAGCTCTGAGAAATAAACATTTCTGTTCTCAGCCTTTCATAAGGCTACATAAAGCTGCCATATTTTCAGAAGGTCTTAGTTAAAGAAGGCAGCTATATCAACATCATCTCCACGACCTGCATCACACAAGCATGGTCTAAGCCTCATAAAACTTATTTAAAATATGTAGGAACTGGGGCCCAGAAACACTGATTTACGCACACCCCGAGCAATGGAACTAAGCAGCAAGAGCTGGATCTCACTGGCACCCCCAGCACCATGCACCTCTGATGGGAGGGAGGCCGACGCAGGCAGCACAGAAGCAGCTCTTGGCAATAGCAGCAGGTGCACTATAATCCTCCAAACCCGTGCCTGTGTCATGCCACTGCCACGGGGCAGAAGCAGCGGGCTGGGTGCTGGGCCCCCCCATTCCCAGCAGCGCCCACAATGTTACCTTCACGATGACGGCTTTGCGCCCCGAGTAGCGTCCGGCCAGGACCAGCACCACCTTCCCCGGCTTCATAAACTTCCCCATCTCTGCCAGGGAGACAGACACAGAGAGGTTTCAGGGGCAGCGGCACCCCACCCCACAGGCCCCTCTCCGCACGGGGCAGCCCGACCCTAGCCCGGAACAGCGGGCCGCGCTCTCGCCGCAGCCACAAGCGGCCAGGTCCCCCACCCCAGGCAGGGACACCAGCCCCCAGCGATCGCCCGTCCGCTCCCCCCGGGGTCCGGCGCCGCCGGATGGCGCCGGATGCTCCCGCTCGCTCTCACACACCGACGATCCGGCTACGATGGCTCCCGGACCGGAAAAGGAAGAAACGAGAGGCCCGGCGCCTTTCACCCAGCTTCCGGTGACGCAACCTGTTTCTTGTGCGCGCATGCGCGGAGGTCCAGTGTTGGGCCGCCTAGAGCGGGGAGGGCCAGGTTAGTGCTGCGCTCGTTTCGGCCGGCCCAGGGGCGCCCCAGAGCCCCGCTGGATCCGCCCGCCCGGAGGGGGAAGCGGCTTCTTCCTCCCCCTCCGCCGGGCCCTTCTTGTTGCAGCCGCTGTATGGTATCAGCTTTCTCGGGCTACAGCTCACTTCATCCGCTGACAGACTCAACATACGCTTTGGTCACGACGTATACAGTATAACAGACGCGTTGGCGAGTCCAGAGTGCTCAACCTCCAGCCCAAACCTGGCCCGCGGAGCCGGGACATCTAGCCTACAGGGGTTGCCCGGAGGAAGGGAAACTTGGTAGTGGGAAGCTGTGGAAAGTACCATGACTGGCTCCAGCCTCCTCCA